TTTTTTGAAAATGGATAGAAAAGAAGAGTATTTTTAAAAAAGGGTACACCAAAAGGGGTATTTTTCAAAAATTATCTTAAAAGTATTATAAACATTAATCTTATAAAAAATGCAAAATATGACGGGATGGGGTTATATGGTACACCACGGGGTTATAAACATTAATTTAAATAAAAAATTAAGAATATAGCATCACTTTTTATTTGAAAATGTATTAAAAATTATTAAAATTTGATACAAGATGACAACTTTTACTGCTTGGTAGTTACTAAACAAATGTATTTCGTTTTTATAAATTTTAATATCGTACTCAATTATTTTATAAAACAAAATCAAAAAATTTATATATACAAAAGTAAAAAAAAAAAATCTCATGGTGTACCATGGGGTAAATCCTATTAATGAGTAACTTTGATTTAATAATTACAAAACAACATTATATTATGGCATTTGGAGATTTTTCAAGCATATATACCAAATCTTATTGAGCAATATAAATGATGAATCAAAATATAATATTTATTTGAGCAAATATTAGTTTAATCTATTGTACATTTAAAAAAAAAATACGCATACTTATAGTTTTTTTTTTCAAATTCCACGACATATATTCAATAACAAATACTATTAATTATTAAAATTACACCAAAATATATACTATAACAAAGTAACACCTATATTAAAATCAAGAAATTTACCATGTGGTGGTATATTTGGTAAATACAACAACGTATATATAACATCGTAATATTTATATTAACTAAAAAGAATCATATCACTAAACTAATTAACTCATTTCAATGATTAATTATAAAAAAATGAATATGCGGTATACCACGGGGTAAATTCTAACTTCGTATGTATATATAAAGTATAAACTATAACGGTTGAAGTTTTATATAAAAGATACGCATAAATTACTAGACCTGTGGTGTACCACGGGGTAAAATCTAGTTATTCATTATGGTATGAAAACGAAAATTAAGCAACCATTTTTAGTTAATAACAACACCAACTACAATACTAAATGAGGTTTGCGATATTAAACTATATCACAGATATATAAAAAAAACAAAGTAATGAACACAAAGTAAAGCATACTGCATATATACGCATGCTTGCTGATAACTTATAAGTGTGTGCCTTGGTAAAGCATGCAGGAAAAACAAAGTAAGGAACTCCTACGACTATATAGAAAATAAAATTAAAAGACGAATACTCACGTTGATTGATATTACACTATACACACACTTTGTAAGTCTATATAGTTTACATAGTTAAAAAGTTTAGAAAACATGATTTTATCATTTAGACTTGTATGCTCCGACTCCGAACATAATGATGGCGTTGATAACCATGCTTGCCCTACTTACAAGATTCACTTATTCTTACCATGATCGCCATCTAAGTAAAATAGAGTATCAACCTTCGCCGTTAATACTTAATAATATATCTGATTTGGATCGGTAAAAACTTGCAGCGACATGCATATGTTGATTGTTGAAACTCATTTTTATCTCTTTTTCATATGTTCAGATGTTGAAACTCATGCATACAGAACAAAAGAAATAGTTAAGAAAAAGTGTCAAATAAAGCAAAAAAAAGTTAATCAAAACCAAATATATATGATTCTAATTTGGCCGCTTATACATTTCACATTTATCTAAGGACTTTATGTTGAAAATACATTAAACTAACACCAATTGGTACTATTAACGTTGTCATTCCTAATACAACTGTGTTATAACTTTTTAACAAAAGACTGGATAATCCGTATTTCTTACGTGTATAAAATGGCTAATCATTTGGCGGATGAATTAGCAAACTATGCGGATGAATTAGCAAACTATGCGTATTCTTTGTCTTTAGACTACCATATACATATGTCTAGTCCAAAAGATATTAGTTCTGTTTTATTCATCCACGTTTTGTTAGAACGTAGTTTCTATTTATTTTAATAATACTAAGGTACTACTAATTGATATACTTCAAGTGTTGATGACACTAGTCGCTGGCTGAATCAAATGACAAGAAGCCATTGATTTCTATACACAAACTGAATCACTATCCGTTTAACTTAATCACAATATATAGTTTCTGCGTATGATTTTTTAATTTACAAACAAACAAACAAAAAAAATTATGAAAGGGCCCTGCCTATGATAAGCCGCTTTATATTTTTGGTGGTCAACACCTAAGCTAACAAATATCATAATGGTCGTATGAAAAATTGAGTGCTGTGATTTCAAACCAAAGTGGCCAACACAAAGGACCCCTTCTTCTTTCTTTTTCTTTATTTTATTCACAAACGTTTCTAAACTCGAGAAAATATAAAACCATTTCGAATCCATTTCAATCCGTTAATCTCGAGCATATCACCATCCCCTCTTTCTCTCTCTTCTACTCTCTTATAATCTTTTATCCATTCTCTCTCTTCTCGCAATAGCTACGAAAAGCTAAACCCTTTCTTCTTCTTCTGCTGCTGTCTTTGTAGTTCGATTGTTTAGATTACTTGGGTCAAACCCAAGTTTGCTTCTTTCTTTCTATAATTCATCAAGTCCAGATCTTGCTTTCCGGGACCAGAAACGATTCAAGCGCTTCGTTCATGATATAAAGTTACCACCTTTATTTGCTTCTGGGTCATGCTTTTGTCTGCTTTTCGACTTTTGCTTTTGTCTGGATCATTCATAGTCTCTGAGATCTAGTAACAAGAGATCCAGAAGCAATACGAGAGAGATGGACTCCGAAGCCTGAGAAAGAAAGAGAGAGAGAGAAAAAATATTTGCAAGAATCGTTATTTTTGGATTCTCATGGAAAATCTCAGTTATTCTCGGTATCGAAGCCGGTCTTCTTCATTACCTAAGAAACCTTACAGTGGCAACAACGCCGATGGAGGTTTTAGCTACAACTCCGGCAAAACAACAACTACATACGACGACGTTTTCGGTGGTCCTCCTTGGTTCGGAGCTCCCACGTTATCTCCTCGTCTCGAAGACTATTGTGAGATTTTCTCCGGATTCAACGCCGTTTCCTCCATTCCGGTTCTCGATCTTCCACTTGTTGATGATAGAGATGTCTACTTTGATGTTTGGGCTCAAGGCTTTGACTACGGTGAAGTCTTTGGAGGTCTCAACGATTTCGATTTAGCTCCGTCGTACGAAGAGCTCTTTTTGCAGCAGAGGTCTACGGTGGTTGCTGATGCTGATTCCTCCGACGATGCTTGGTACTACTGATCAAAAATCGATACTTTTCTTCTTGTCTTAGATTCAATTTGAGCAAAAGGAGCTTTCTTTTTTAAGAATTTTGATTTTCATGTTTTTGTAGGACTCCTGAAGAAGTAGTGTCCTGTTCAGGAGGTACAGAGCATTCTGGCAAAAGTCCTTGTTTTTCTAATGGTAGAGATTCTTTTGATTCCATTGATGGGAGCACCGATTTCAACATTTCTTATAACAAAGCTACTGAGATAAGCAGCGGCGATATAAATATGTCTAGCGGTGTGATACGAGTAGCTGATCTTGGTGCTGTTCCATGTTACACTGCTGCAGTGGATGAAATGATTTGTGCTAGTGGAACAACAAAGCTCAAGAAGGAGTCTGGGCCTTCTTTTGTTGGCAGCAGAGGTACAAGTAGATTTGTCTTTGAAGACAAGTATTACACTAGTGAACCTTTTGTTACTGTTTCTGAAATTGGTTTGAAGACTCATCCTACTGGGATACCACCTCCTTCGAGGCCACCTCCTGTATTAAAGAGCGGTGAAAAGGCAGAACAAGAAAGGAAAATGAAAGAAGAACAAGAGTTAGAATTGCGGCAAAAAGAAGCTTTGGGAAGGGAAGCACATAACCGAAGAATAAGAGAAGCCCGTGAGAAGGCAGAGAATGAAAGGAAAATGAAAGTTGCACTTGAACAAGAGAAGGAACGAAGGATAAAAGAAGAAAATGGGCGAAGAATAAAAGAGGCTCTTGAGAAGGCAGAGCTGGAGCGAATGCTGAAAGAACTTGAACAAGAAGAGAAGGAAAGGCAGATTAAAGAGTTTCAAGAGAGAGAAGAAAATGAGAGGAGAGCTAAAGAGGCTCTGGAGCAAGCAGAGAAGGAGAGGAAGTTGAAAGAAGCCCTTGAGCAAAAGGAGAAAGAAAGGAGGGTGAAAGAGGCACGTGAAAAAGAGGAGAACGAGAAGAGGCTGAAAGAAGCCATGGAGCTAGAAGAGAAAGAAAAAAGGTTAATAGAAGCTTTTGAGAGGGCAGAGATTGAGAGAAGACTGAAAGAGGATCTTGAACTGGAAGAGATGAGGATGAGGCTGGAAGAAGCCAAGGAAAGAGAAAATCAAGAGCATCTAGAAAATGAAATAAAACAACATGAATGTTCAGTAAAAGAAAGTGACGAGAAAGAAACAGATGCATGTGAAATCAAGAAAACCTGTGAAACCATCACAGAGGCTCATGGAGAGCAATTATCGAGTGAAAGTCTTAGCGATGCTCTAGAAGAGGATGAAAGTATAGACGATCACGAATCACCAACCAACCAACAGGAAGTAGAAGAAGGACCAAGCCAGAGAGAATCTATGTCTGAAGAAACGTGTCCTTGGAAGGTTTTTGAGAAGAACCTTAAAGATGCCAGCCAAAAGGAAGGATCCAATGAGCTAAATACTGGATCCAGGTTGTTTGAGAGGGATCAAGAGGCATCAGAGTTGAGTGAAAATGGAGAATTTGGTGAGGAATTCAGTTCTGGGAATATTAAAGTAGGAAAGCACGAAGAGAAGAGTAAAAATTCTGAAACCTCTAAAGATGCATCAGTTCTCAAACGAGACAATGGGTTGAAAACTGAAGTTGAAGAAAGATCAGGAGACGAAAATGTGAGAAAAGCAGCATGTGTTCGTAGTGATCAAAGGAACCAAGAGGAGAGTAAGTGTGCTACCAAAACATCCTCTGATTTCAGAAGCCATGAAGATAAATTCACTCATCAACAGGAGAGAGGTATCTATGAGGAACAAGCAGGTTTTCGAGTATCTGCGCAACGTGAGAAAGAAATAGAGAGACTAAAGCGAGAAAGAGGCTTTGAGATGGAACGCTTAAGAAAGATAGAAGAAGAAAGTGAGAGGGAAAGAGAGAGGGAGAAGGATCGAATGGCTTTTGACCAGAGAGCCTTGGCTGATGCACGTGAAAGATTGGAGAAAGCATGCGCTGAGGCTAGAGAGAAGTCTTTGCCTGATAAGTTATCAATCGAGGCAAGACTTAGAGCAGAACGAGCGGCAGTGGAGAGAGCAACCACTGAAGCTCGTGAACGTGCAGCTGAAAAGGCTGCTTTTGAGGCAAGGGAGCGAATGGAAAGATCTGTTTCCGATAAGCAATTCCAGAGTTCAGGTTCCTTTGGTGAACGAATGGAGAGATCAGTTTCCAATAAGCAATTTCAAAGTTCAGTCTCATTTGGTGCTTCAAGATATCAAGATTCTCCTGGTACAAATACTCTGAAAAGTCTTTTTCTTTTATTTTCCCATCCCCCATTAGCTTAACACTGTCTTTTGTCTGTTAAGGTACTGATGGTGAATCGCCTCAGAGGTATACATCGAGATTAGAAAGGCATCGAAGAACAGCTGATCGTGTGGTAATTAATGCTTCTATTTTCCAAAACTCGTAGTGAAAATCTACACCATTGATGTTAATTAATGTAAGATCATAAATAACTCGTAACAGGCTAAAGCTTTAGCAGAGAAGAACATGCGTGATCTCGTGGCTCAGAGAGAACAAACTGAAAGAATGGTACAGCCACCAAACCAAAACTCTTCTTCAACTTCAAAAAAACTGCCTTCAAATGTTTTCAATACTCACAGTTTGTTTCGGTTTCCTTACAGAGAATCGCTGAAACCTTGGATGCGGAAGTAAAGAGATGGTCAAGTGGAAAAGAAGGAAACATAAGAGCATTACTCTCAACATTACAATACGTAAGTTTACTTAATGAAGATCAAAGCTAAAAAAAACAAAACAGAGTGAATTCTCAAAATTTGTTTCTTTTTTGTTGGTTTGATAAACCAGATCCTTGGTCCTGAAAGCTGTTGGCAACCATTACCGTTAACAGAGGTAATAACTTCAGCAGCCGTGAAGCGAGCATATAGGAAAGCAACACTTTGTGTTCATCCAGACAAACTACAGCAACGAAATGCAAACATTCATCAGAAATACAAATCTGAAAAGGTTTTCGATCTTCTTAAGGTAGTTCATCATGTTCTATAACACCTTTTCATACACTCTCTGAATTGGTTATTCTAGAAATTTTGAATTAGTGTTAATTGTTACTAATAAACTCCCAGGAAGCTTGGAACAGATTCAACTCAGAAGAAAGGTAGAAAGCCTTATTGTTATTGACATTTGACCTTTGGTTTTTGATTTTTTCTTCATTTTTTTCTTCTGTTTTTGTAAAGTCTATTAAGAGATAAGTCGTGTGCTTCTTTGCGTAGGTCAAGAGTAAATAACCTCTTTATTTTATTTCTATGATTGTTGCTAATTTCCCTAGATGATGTAATCATTTTCTGCAAATTTTTTTTTTTTTTTTTTTTGTAGATTCTAATATAGTAAATTTTCTTAGCAATATACTATAGTTTTATTTTTTTCCTCTGCAAATTGCTGTTACATTCGATCTCTATCATACTTGTAACGACCAGTTATAATACATATCTTGTCAGATTGTTGTAATATTGGCACAAAAAAAAAGAAAAAAAAAAAACTCACTTAATAACATCCCACATCGGTAAGTTGAACGATATCACGTCACGTATATATACTTGTACAAATTACGAAGTGATATATATGTCACTGGACGAAGTGATTGGGCTTCATGGGCTTGACTAAGTTCCGACCCAGGAAAGTCCCCGGGCCACTTTTCCGCAGAGATGCGGCCTCGGTAACGAGAGAATCGTACGGTGGAGAGATTAAAGCTGAGACACGTGTGTGGAGCTCTCTCTGCCGACGATATCATGGCCGTTCGTATTACGACAGTTATTCACCTGGTCCTTGTCAGGACTAACTGAACGGGGCTTACGTTTCAATGACAACAACTTTTTTTTTTTTTTTTTTTTTTGGTTTGGGTTTGGTAGTAACATCAAAGATATTGAAGAACCGGTTTCATGAAAAGCTTGTTTGAGGTGAAGTCAAAGAGTTAACCGGTTTTGTGTTAAGCGGTGGTGAAAGAATGAAGAATCCGATAACTTCTGACTAGACCATGTTGCCGATGCCGACCTTGTCGTCTCATCTCAACCGTCGATATATTACAGAAAGAGTTTCGAGTTGGAAGTTAGCTTGAATGGTCTATAAGCCAAGAAGAGCTTTATTAATGGAGTCAAAACGTAACAAGTGTAGATTGTGGATTAACTTCAAGTCAATGAATTGTTGTTACGTGTTATAGATAACGTGCATAATCAAATAATTCAAGATCTCTTTATCTTGCAGAATCTGAGGTTATGACAATATTGATTTGTATTCGTCCCACATCGTTGGCTAGATAACATAGGACGTTTTCTATTCATATATATAATGAGAGGTCGAGCCTAACAATAATTTCATACCTTTCTCGGCCTTTTGGCTAAGATCAAGTGTAGTATCTGTTCTTATCAGTTTAATATCTGATATGTGAACCATTGGTTCACACGATATTAACTTTATTTTTCGAGGGAGATATACTCATTAAGATAGCTTGCTGTCTGAGTTTTCTTGAGTCGTCTATGTGTTGCACTATTGCATGGACCTGGCTCATCCCCACCAAATATAGTCCAATGTTGAATCCATCACTTCCCCTAAATTTCCAAAAACTTGCTCTGAATATGTAATGTATGAAGGATTGTATTGTATAGCGATGAAACTTTATCATATATCAAAAACTTCCCCTAAAAATTCCCAAATTATACTTCACAAATGAAACTTTTTGAAAGAGAAGAGAAGAGCGCGTGAGATCTACTCGCGGCTCTCTCCTCTCTCCTCCATTCTCTTTTTCTGATCACAAACACTTGCACCGCGTGAAGGGTTCCTCCGGCGATTCCGGCGTTGATGAGGAACTCATGGTCCATGGCGCTTCATCCGCAATCTGTCGCTTCTTCTTGGCTTCACTAACTAAACAAAATCACCAGAGAAGGGGAGAGGGAAAGCTTCTGCGAGTCACTGCCGACGAGCTCTTCGATGGTGTAGCGGCGCAGATCGGAAGAGGGAGACTTCACGACAAAGATTGAGAGAGACGACGGTTAGATCTAGGGACCCGCGATCCTGGAGGTTTCTTGTGGCCGCCGCTTGATGGGGGAGATTGACTCCGGCCGGGTGAAGCTAAGCCACTGTCGTTGGAACCTAGATCTACTCCCTACCGCCTTTAATCTCACATCGGAGCCTGGAGCCTTCTCGACGAAAACAGATCGGTTTCTTCCTCTTCCTCAAAGCTTTTCTATGGTGGCAGAGAGGCAAACAGATCCTGGATCACCTACTTTGTTCGATCCGCGTCGTCCAGGTACACCGGAGGTCCTGTTCCGGCGTGCATCTGCAGCATATGGACGACGGCTACATCGTGTTCTACGGCTGTAGATTAGGGTTTCACGCGGTTAATTTCGGTTCTGTGAAACCGGGTCGGTTTTGTATTTAGTTTGGTTAAGTTTGGTTAGATGTAATGGATCGGGCCCTATTGGGTTTTGGAATGGGCCTATTCCGGAAATATTGTAAGCCCTTTGGACATAAGTTTTTAATTGAAAGCCTTTTACAAAAAAAAAAAAAAATTCCCAAATTATTTTTGTCTCCTTTTCTGCATAATTCCAGTAGCACACAAAGTGCATGCATGCGTCCACCAAGTAATTCTAATTAATACAAATAAATAGCTCTTCTTTGAATTACATAATGTGGCTTGTTCAAATTTGTTTACTTCTAGATTACTATACACAAACCACTAAATTACATGTTTTGAATGATATTGTCTAGTTGATTAGCATTCTTTTACAATTATGTCTCTTACCACACTAGGTTTATTTCTTATAATACCTCTTACATCATAAATTAAAAGTACATTCTCAATCTGTTGTATGATTATTTTTAAAACATTTTTATAATAAACTTATAATTTCCGCCCATTTTCTTGGCTCTTTGTTTGGACGAGTTTGTAGTACAATAAGCAAATAAATTTTATTGCAAAACTCTCTCACTAGAGCTTCTTACAAATGGTGGTTACAATACTTCGCTCACTCTCCGGTCTCTGTGCCGTCACTTCTTCATCGAGCCTACAACGACGGACGTCAAACTCAAAGCATCGACTCACGGAGATAAAAAAAGTAACATCAATGAATCCTAAGCGTGGTGTTCGTCGGAGACAGAAGAATAAGAATGGAAACATGGTGGAGAACCCGTATTCGAAAGTGGAGGCGGCCCGTCCTGATATCCGGAAGAGCTTGTCGGATTTTTTGGAAGAAGCGAGAGATTTTGTTGAAGATGGAGGTGGTCCACCTCGTTGGTTCTCTCCATTGGAGTGTAGTGCTCAAGCTCAAGGCTCTCCTCTTCTCCTATACTTACCTGGTTCGTTTGTCCTTTTAACTCTTCTTTCGTGTTTTGATCGTAATATGAATGGACCTCCGCTCGGGTAAGGATCCGGGTTTCAGGACGTAAACCCGCAGAGGTACCGGGTTAATTTCATATGTGATCACTTAGTGGACTTCTTGATATTTTGTTGTAACATGCAAAGAACATGCTCACCTCCGGATTAGTTGGACTTAGCTCGAACACGGATGATTAAAAAATTGCATCTTGTGATGATTTCTTTTGCCTGAATGTTAAGTTGACAAAACTGTTTTTATTTTTTATTTCAATAAAGCTTTGCATGCAATGCTATATTAACAAAACTGAGGTAACTAAAAAACTTGCAGGGATCGATGGTACTGGACTAGGTCTCATTCGCCATCACAAGAAACTTGGGGCGTACGTATTTTCATATAATAATCTTTATATATGGTTTCTTGATTTCCTTAGAAGATTGCATTATTTGCAACATTGTTGCCTCTTTTTCTATTATTCAGTTGAAGCAATGAATCAAAGGAAAAAGATCAAATCATAACTAATATGGTTTTTTGTTAGGTAGTTAATTTTGAAATATTGACATGTAATGTTGTATATTGTCTTGGAATAGGATTTTTGATATATGGTGCCTTCACATTCCAGTCAGGGACCGTACTCCTCTTAAAGGTGACTTTTTTAGCCCTTCTAAGTAGTATATCGTATATATTAACTACAAAAATGATTTATTAATCGAATAGATAACTAATCCGGATTTAAATTAAACCCTTTTTTGTGATCAGACTTGGTGAAACTTATTGAGAAGACTGTTAAGTTGGAGCACTCTAGGTTCCCAAATAGACCAATATATTTAGTTGGAGAATCTATTGGAGCATGTCTTGCTTTAGATGTTGCAGCCAGGAATCCAAATATTGATCTTGCTCTGATCTTGGTTAATCCAGGTACAAAAAAAAGCTTGGCCTGCATGCATGATTCTTATTTTTCCGGTAAATGCCAAGAAATATGTGCCTCTTTACTCATCTTAGAAATTATGTTTTGCAGCCACACATGTCAACAACCTCATGTCAAGACCTCTATCAGGAATGATGAGTGTGTTACCAGATGAAATTCCCACACTATTGGAAGACTCATTTGGTTTGAAGCAAGGTACACTTTTGTTGTTGCTATTATTGTCTCTTCTCATATTATAACTTGACTTGATATTTTCCACAAGTTGGACCTATACAATATCTCCAAGTTCATTGTTAGCACTTGGCATCTTCTTGATTTAACTTAGAAAGCAGTGATGGCTGTGAAATTAAATGTTATATAACAGTAGTTTCTTACATGTATATGAAGTACTTAAAGAAACATGACAATCTCTTGTGGAATTATTACGTAGGCGATCTATTGAAGGGAATGTTAGACGCTTTGTCAAATGAATTTTCTGTCCACCGAATGGGCGGATTTGGTGGAGAGATTCTAAGAGATCTCTTTGCAGTTTCGGCTAATTTCCCTGTAAGTATCCCTCCTTAGAAACTCACGGTCTTATGCGTTTTCAATTTCAGTTCTCGTGTTCATCAAGTCATATATATGATCAAAACCTTAAAACACACTATTTTCAGACTCTTATTAGGATGTTCCCTAAGGACACACTGCTTTGGAAGTTTGAAATGCTTAGGTCAGCTGTTGCATCTGTGAATTCTCACATATACTCAGTCAGAGCTCAAACACTGATACTTCCGAGGTCCAATAAGTTTCTCTGTTTCGGATGTTCTGAATCTGTTTTGCTTTAAAAAGCTTGTACAATAAGTGTAATTTGATTATGACCATTGCAGCGGACACGATCAATGGCTTCATAATGACAAAGACATTGACAGATACTCGCGGACGTTGCCAAAATGTATTGTCCGTAAGCTTGATGATAGTGGACAGTTTCCCCTTTTAGTAAGTGATCTCTCTTCATCCAATACAAAAGTAAGATGATGTTACTTACAGTCCAATACTCTAATTGTCTCTTTTACATCTCATGTTAGGAGGACAGCATAGACCTGGCTAGTATCATCAAGTTTACTTGTTTTTATCGCCGCGGGAAGTCCCATGATTTCATTTCAGATTACATTATGCCTACTTTATTTGAGTTAAAACAACAATTAGACGAACACAGGTAAAATTTTGCTAGTCAGTATATTAAGTAAAAGGCTATAGATGAATGATACTTAATGATATATTCCACGGTGCAGATTGCTAATGGATGCTATTTCACCTGTTATGCTATCAACTCTAGAAGACGGTACAGTTGTAAGGAGCCTTGAAGGGTTACCTTCAGAAGGACCTGTTGTGTACGTTGGCTATCATATGATATTAGGATTTGAGTTAGCTCCAATGGTAGGTATACTTATGAAAGAGAGGAACATTCACATGCGGGGTTTGACACATCCTATGGTATTTATGTATATCCGAGACTCTTTAGTCGACCCGAAGACGTTTGACAAATATAAGTTAATGGGTGGAGTACCTGTCTCCAATATGAATTTCTACAAATTATGTCGTGAAAAGTCTCATGTGCTTTTGTATCCTGGAGGTGTCCGTGAAGCTCTGCATAGAAAGGTTATGTTAAATTAAATATATATTGTCGCATGGTGAAATTTTTTATGTTGGAGGCTAATATGAACAGAGAGACTTTACAGGGTGAAGAATACAAGTTGTTTTGGCCAGAACAATCCGAGTTTGTGAGAGTTGCATCTAAATTTGGAGCAAAAATTGTTCCTTTCGGTGTTGTTGGAGAAGACGACATCTTCAATGTAAGCTTTCTCTACTCAAATCTTAAGCTCTACACTATATTAAATGTGTTCTTAGAGAATTAATAAGAAACAATGTTTCTCTATATTCAAAATGCTTATAATTTCTACATATAGTCTACTTTTATATGTACGGAAACCTTGGTTTCGAGTAACTTTGGTTTGGGACATTGACTGATTTTCAGATTGTATTGGATTCCAATGATCAAAGGAACATCCCTATCCTTAAGGATTTAATGGAAAAAGCAACAAAGGACGCTGGCAACCTAAGGTGATTTACGTTTGATCACACTCTTATGTATATTTCTCATACATAAACACATAATTTTGAACATTAAAATTGTTAGGGAAGGCGACGAAAGCGAATTGGGAAACCAAGATTGCTATATTCCAGGACTTGTACCTAAGATTCCAGGACGGTTCTACTATTACTTTGGAAAACCAATAGACTTAGCAGGTATGTATACAATCTAAGTGACAGCTCTCTACTTCAAATCACTGATCTCAGTATATACTTGCCATAATCGCGGGGTTTTGTTTTCCATGGCAGGTAAGGAGAAAGAGCTGAAAGACAAAGAAAAGGCACAAGAGGTTTACTTGCAAGCAAAGTCTGAGGTCGAACAATGCATTGCCTATTTAAAAATGAAAAGAGAGAGTGATCCTTACAGACACTTGTTGCCAAGGATGTTGTATCAAGCCTCACATGGTTTGTCTTCTGAAATCCCAACGTTTGATCTCTAAATTTTACTGTGGCTATATATATGTTGTAGACAAATCATATGATGTTAGAGGTTCTAAGATTCTTTAGAGATCTAAGATCTTTTATTTGCTCATGGAAAATAAACATGTACATGACATAAATCTATCTATTACTTTCATATTGTCTTCTAAATTAAATAAAGTTAAACATCTAAAACATATACAACGTACGTTAAAAAAAGAAAAAAACCCAAAGACACACACATACATGTGAACACCCTCCCTATTGGAGATAAACGAACTAATGGTTTCTATTTTGTTTTGCATGTGGAAATTAAGTTTCTAAATTATAACAAGATCCCGACAGGTCACTGACTCACTGTTGTTGCGATGTGTTTATATCCGAAAATGTATCTATTTTTGCTCTAAACTCCTTTTCATACAAGAGGAGGTGTGCAATATAGACTTTTAGTCTAGCTAGATACAGAGTACATAGATATATGTTCGGAAACGTCCTAAGCTATAAGTATGCGTATGCTACATATCCATTTTTGGAAGTATGTAATAAAGGTTCCTATATTGATTGTTAAAGCGTGTTAATAAACTTATAAGACCACCCTCTGGCATTATTTTAGGGGATCTACCCCTAAGATTTGCAAAGGAAAATTCTTATATAAATCTTATATAAGAATTTTCCTTTGCAAATCTTAGGTGATCTTACCTCCTAAGATACTAGCAATGAGGATGCTCTAACGTTCGGCTAGCTCTGCTTCATTTAATAAAGGTTCCTATATTTACATTTTTTTAATAAGTTTTTAATTATTTAAGATTTTCATATTAAAATTATTTTTAATTAATTTAAGACAAATAAAATTTAATATTGATAATTATACCCAAAAAAATACGACCAAGAATATTAATTCGAGAAGATATGACTAATTTAATAACATATATAGAGAATTAATTGAAAATAAAAGGTTTTTTCTAAGAAAAAGTATGAAATGATTAAAAGTTTATCAAATTAGGGAGTTGAGGTAGATATTGACAAGATTCAATTAAAAATATTGAACTATTCCATAAGTTTTAAATTATTATACATAAAATTAGAAAATTAGTATGAAGCACATGCCCTCACCCATAACACCTACATCCGCCCATGCAGGACACATTTTATGATGTTCAACTATGTTAAAATTTATAGGTTCACCTACTAACACTTATAAGTCTAACTGTCTTATGAATTTCTAGAACTTTGACTAATCAATTTAGATTATCGAGTAACCATCTTATACTAGTGTATGGTTCATTTTTAAATACTACTAGCCATCACAAAAGTCATTGTTGTTGCGGGCTTTATATCCAAAAAGTGGTTTTACTCGTGCTCTAAACTCTTTTAAGTACAACAAGAGGTGTGCAATACTTTTAACAAATTAAAAAAGAGGTGTACAATATGGACTTTTAGTCTAGCTAGATGCAAACAGATGAATTGTCCCACGTAGATTATAATGTCCCACGTATCAGGCCTTGCATTGATGCCGGCTAGCTCTTGTAGATTATGATGTCTCACGTAGGTTGCTCATTTGTAAGGATGATGTATATTTAAATTAGAAAGTTTGATATTTGACCATGCACATACATATAAGACATTTTATGATGTTTTCCAACTATGTCAAGTATTTAGTTTGACTACTTACTAATACTTATAACTTTATAAGGCTAATCAAACAATCAATCAGTTTAGAACCTTGACTAATCAAAATTTTGAACATTGACAATTCTCTTTCTTATGTTGAACCTAATCAATCGAAATTTTGAACTTTATAAGGCGATCAATCAAATAATAGAATCAAATTTATTTTGAGATTACAAACAATTATCCTTCTTATTTTCATGAATTATTTGGATATGGATAGTGACAAACATAGGTCCATAATGGTACCCAAAATCATTTCCTGATCATTCAAACGGAAAAAATAAAACCATAAGTTATTGAAACAGTCGACGTGAAACTTGAACGTTCGCCATCTCAATATCTAACATTTATGAAATTATGATGATTTATATACTAAGATTTTAGTAAAAAGGAAAAAATCAAAATATAAGTATATATAATAATTATTGGCAAATACAGGAAATTTTCTCAAAATGAAAGGTTTATTTTAATTAAATTTGTAATAAAAAATATCTAAAGAATTCTAAATACAACTTTTTTAGGAAAATAAATCAAATAAAATAATCAAAAATCTAAAGTTGAAATTCTTTTAAAAAAATTATTATGAATGATTTTCTTACAAAAATATTCATCAGAAAAAGCATATGTAAATAAGATCAAATATAAACTTTTGTTATTACAATATATAAATATAATATAATATTATTAGTTTCACTAAATTTGTTAGTATTTTTCTTGTTAAATTTAGAAAAGAAACATAAAATAAATACATGAACCCTACTGGAACCCGAAATTTCAAAATACCTAATAGATACTTGTAATAAGCTAAGTTCCTAAAGTATTTAGATATTTTATTGTATTTTAGCTATTTTTGGAGTGATTCATATACAAAAGGCTTGAGATACAAAAGTTTTGATTTTTGGTAATCCGAAGTACACACACGAACTCGATCCGAACCCAAAGTTTAAAACACCTAAGAATTGTCGACAGATTCGAAATGCGTCACTTTTTTTTTTTTTTGGGTCGGTCGAAATGCGTCACTTAGCATGTCTCTTTCGCAATTTAAAATTGACGAGTGTTTTGTTTAGTTAGGTTCTCTTTATTTAAAATTATCAACGTTTCATAAATGGTAGACCTCGTACTTATCAAAACGGTAGTTTTGAATGAGTCTGACATAGTTTGCTTCACCTTCAATTGAATCGATGGACTGCTTATTTTTGCTTCCATATTTTTATTTCTTTATTTTTTTTCATGGAACCAATTATATAAGACTAAAATCTGTGATTCTAAACCTAAACATTTGCATTCTTAAATGAATATTAATTAACATTCTTAGCAAAAGAAAAAAAGTTTGAAAAGTCTGTTTATTCACTTTCGATTCGATTATGTTCAGGTTTGTTTGAAAAGTATTCACTTTGAAAAGTTTTGGTTGGGTAATATGATTTCGTTTGTTCACTTTAGTAAATATTATTCCACACTCTACAGTGGATAGTGACTTTTATGAGTCGAATAATATTCGCACTCCTAAGGAATGAATACATTATAAATAGATTGATTACTAACCCTCAAATTAAACAGAACAACAACAACTACACACAAACACAAGAACAGCGACAGGAGAATGTCTGAATTCCTCTATTTCCTCTTCCTCGTACCCCTTGCCTTAATCTTCTTGAACGTTTTCAAACCTTCGAAATGGAAACTTCCTCCGGGTCCAAAGAAGCTTCCCATCATCGGAAACTTACACCAACGAAAGGCATTACATCCCAGGAATCGCCGTAAGCTCTCCGAAATGTATGGGCCAGTGGTGCTTATGCAGTATGGATTCGTCCCCGTGGTCGTGATCTCTTCAAAAGAAGCAGCAGAGGAAGTCCTCAAGATCCACGATCTTGAGTGTTGTAGCCGAGCAGGGACGGCAGGGACCAGAGCAACTTTTTACAACTTCAAAGACATTGGGTTGGCACCATTCGGTGACGAGTGGAGTGTGATGCGGAAGCTTTCGGTGGTCGAGCTCTTCAGCGTGAAAAAGCTTCAATCTTTCAGGTATATCAGAGAGGAAGAGAATGACTTGTGTGTCAAGAAACTCTCTGAGTATGCTACGAAGCGAACTCCAGTGAATCTTGAGAAAGCCCTTTTCACTTTACTCGGAAATATAGTGTGTCGAATCGGGTATGGGATAAACCTCTATGATTGTGACTTCGTTGATGAAGATAGCATCGCGGATCTTGTGCTTAAGTCTGAAGAGGTCATTAGAGGTTCTCTCTTCTCTGATTTCTTTCCTGGAAGAATCGGTAGCTTCATCGACTGGATCTCCGGTCAGAAAAAGAGATTGAACGATACTTTCTCGGAAGTAGACACTTTCTACCAGAACGTTCTTGACGAGCATCTTAAGCCTGGAAGAGAGAGCTCTGATATTATTGACGTGATGATCGACATGCAGAAGAAGCAAGAGAAAGATGGAGATTCTTTCAAGTTCACCACTGATCATCTCAAAGGGATGATCTCGGTAAGTCCTTTTCAAGTTATTTATACATTCCAAAGTAATTTTTAAAAAATCATGCAACGTAACAATATTTGTGAATTTGTGGTTATGTCAGGACATATTTATAGCAGGAGTTGGAGGAACCGCTGCCACAACGCTATGGGGAATAACCGAGCTGATCAGAAACCCGAAAGTGATGAAGAAAGTGCAAGACGAGATTAGAACAAAACTTGGGGATAAGAAGGAGAAAATCAAAGAAGAAGATATAAACCAGCTTGACTACTTTAGGCGCATGGTGAAGGAGATATTCAGGTTACATCCATCAACTCCACTTTTGCTCCCAAGAGAGACACTGTCACATGTCAAGATCCAAGGCTACGATATTCCTGCCAAAACACAGATCATAGTCAATGTTTATGCGCTTGGTCGTGATCCAAAACTCTGGGAAAACCCTGATGAGTTTAACCCTGATAGGTATCTCGACAGTTCCGTTGATTTTAAAGGACTAAACTTTGAGTTTATACCGTTTGGATCTGGTAGGAGAATATGTCCAGGGATGACTATGGGAATCATACTTGTTGAGTTGGCATTGTTGAATTTGCTTTACTTCTTTGATTGGGGAGTGCCGGAGAACGATGGAGCCAAGATCGTAACTGGGAATGAAGATGTTCTTCACATCGTTCAAGTTCTTCACCACTGAGTTTGGTTATGTACACTAGATTCCAAGATAATAAATGAAAAGATAATATGATAATAACCGAGAGCCAGTAGCTCAACTTGTAAAGACTCTAGTGAAAGTCTAGAGGTCTCCAGTTGAAGTGGTTTTTGTGACTAACATATTTTCTTATTGTGTTCTCTGAGAGTATGTATGGGTTTTATATCTAAAATCTTTTTTTATTCAAAAAATAAATAAAATAATAATTATATTCATAATTGAAACGGTAAATAAGTTAATAAAATAATAATTTCATTCAGAATTATATAATAAGCTCTTGTTATTTATTTTTTCAAGAATACAACGTACGCATTTATGTGGTTTATTTTAAATTGTAGATAGTTATTTATACACAAAACCAATACTTGAGTATTTTAAAAACGTCTTGTTATATATTTTTTGTGAAGTATAATTTTCGTTTACATCAGTTTATACCCTTTTCCATTTAAACCAAATTTTTTTTATAAGATAACATTAAATTCGATTTGCTATATTTTTTTATTTTTTTATTTAATAATTATTGTTGATGTGCCTCTTGTAGAACTGTCACATCACAAGCTCATATTCGTTATGGAAAAATCTTGTCCACATTTGATTCCTTTTACTATTAGATTTTTACTTTTGATTAAAAAGTTTGAATCTTTAGAACAATTTACGATTTTCTACCCTTATTTACTCACTTGAATAAACACTGATGAGATTAGAACACAAGTGTCTCGATTAGAGAGTGTTCATACTGGTGCACCACTTTCCCTATTACAATCAATATATATATTGTTGCTGCTCGTATTATGTTAGATGTGGTTTTTGTGTAACGCCTAGAACGTTAAATAAAATAGTGATTAAAGGGGGAAAGGGAAGAGGGTGTTGATCGACATCAACATCTTTTTATTAGTTTATCGGTTAAATACGAATTATAAATTTTTAAAACCTAAATTTATTTTATAAACTTGACGTTTTTTTTGTTACCAAAAAAAAAAAAAAACAACTTGACGTTTTGAAGGATTCTACCTAAAAGTTAATTGACGTGGAAGCATACTAGAGTCTTGCTTGTCAGGATGTGAATTTCTTGGTTCTAGTTTCGAGAGAGTAGCTCTCATTATGATAGGTGATGGTTAATGTTATTGTCGGATTGGTTGTAGGTATCCCTTATAAATTTCATATACAAGTGTTTCAGAAAAAGTGATCATTTTGCTTCTCGAGACTATGGTGTTTTGTAAGTGTTAAGTTTAGTTGTCTTTTTCTTCAGTTTAAGAGTTCATCCTCTTTAGATGAAGAGTTCATTCTATTTGTCTTTAGTTTAAGAGTAAATTATATGCTTTGTAGTTTTTCTCTTGAAATTATCTTAAGTTTCTTGGGACTTTTAGTTATCCACCGGCCTTACTTCCCTCGTTTAGGATTTTATATTGCAGTAAAATATTTGTTTTCCGCCGCCTTAAATTGTATTTCACATTGTGTCGTATTAAATAGAAGAAAAAAATTGTGAACTAAAATCTTATTTAATTAAAAATAGTTTCCTCTTATCAATATAGATAGGATGACATGAGTTATGTAATTGATACATCTACTAAGATTTAAACATAAACTTAGCAAATTAGATATCACTATACAAAATTAACAAACTTATAAAACTACTTACAATGGTTACTTTTTAAGGTGTTAAATAAATAATTCAACTGTTGAATCACTACAATGGCATGTTAAAAAAAATGACATGGCCACAACATAATTGAAAACATTCAACTGCATTGAAAGTAAATAAAGTGGATATCACTATGCTACATGGCAAATAATGAATGGATAATTTTTTTACTTATATAGTAATATTTAGATAAGGACATTTGTTCTGTTTTAATTGGATACTAAGACTTTAGATATTTAGTATCCAACCAAATTATTTGAGATCAATTATAACATATAATATGAATATTTTATTTTATTTATTATATAAAATTCATCAGTTTTCATACTTGTAAATAAAGACTTGTTTCACTTAACTACACAGGCAAAAAAAACATATTTTCTTACTATATTTTTACTATCACCCATCATAAACTCTTGTATATTTTGTTACCCTCGTTTTATTGAAATTGATCCTAATAATAACGCTATTAACTTGCCGACAAAATAAAATAAAAATAATAACGCTATTAACTCTCAAAAAAAAGTTTATTTAATATTTACTTATTTTAATTTTATTTGATATTAACAGTGACTAAGGTTGAAACAGTATTTTGTAATTTTTAAATTTTATTCCATAGTAAATGTTGTCTGAGATAACATTGGAATGTTTTTGAAATTGTACTTTTGTAATTTTTAAAGTTATTCCGTCGAAAATGTTCTACAGGGAAACATTGGACCGTCAAACATTTTAAAAGCTTTATTCTATTAATAAAAAATGCCTTCTAAGTATTGCCCATTTAAAGCTAACTCCCTAGTTCGATATATAGCCAAGAGTGTAACCTCGGATGGTCGTCTCACTTCATACCTAGCGCGTAGTGGTCCGGCGTAGTTACATGATCGGATTAATCAAGAGAAGCTTGGGTGATCTTGTGAGTTGTTTCTCTTGTTAGTTCTATTTCTTCCTTATCGTACTCTGTTTCTTCTCTGTATTTTTCAAACTTTTCCTTATCAATGAAAGAGTTAGAAAAAAAAAAGTATTGCCCATTTTACGTATATTAGTATATACTCTACCAATGATTTTATAAGAATCTAATTAAACAAATTAAAATTTATGTTGAAAAGAATAAAAACTTTTAAAAGTTTTATTCTACTAATAAAAAATGCCTTCTAAGCATCGCCCATTTTACGTATATTAGTATATACTCTACCAATTATTTTATAAGAATCTAAATAATCAAATTAAAATTTATGTTGAAAAGAATAAAAACTTACTAGTATATGACATGTCAGTGCATATATTAAAGTAATCATTACACGTGGGTGAATATGTGAATATAAAGCTACCACATCACATAGCACATGTGACATGTCCAATACTAAAGTTTCTTCTTAAAAAAGAAATACTAAAGTTGTTATTTTCCGCGCACTTTCTTGGCTCTTTGTTCGGAATAACTTTTGTCACATTCTGTAAGCAAACAGGAAACGCCACTGCGGCAGAAACTATCTCTTTAGAGCTTCTCACAAATGGTGGTGACTACAGTACTTCACTCAACCTTAGGTCTTTGTGCCGTCTCATCTACATCAAACCTACTACGACAACGGACCTTAGCCGTGCAGCATCGTCTCACTTCGGTCAAATCCGTAATATCTACGACTCTGCCTTCTAGTGGTATTCGGCGGAGACATAAGGATAAGGATGAAGATGGAGCCACGGTGGCGGCGAAGGTGGTCAAGAACCCGTATTCGGAAGTGGAGGCGGCGAGTCCTGATTTGAGGAAGAGCTTGTCGGATTTTTTGGAGGAAGCCAGAGATTTCTTGGATGATGGAGGAGGTCCACCTCGGTGGTTCTCTCCGTTGGAGTGTGGCGCTCAAGCTCAAGGCTCTCCTCTCCTCCTCTTTTTACCTGGTTTGTTCTTCTTTCAGTTTCCGATATTGAATTCAAGAATCATAACAATCAACCCGCGTGTGGTGGATGAGGATCCATGTCTCATAGACGTTAAGCTTATTCAAGTTAACAAAAACAGAGAATGTATAACTTGCAGGGATCGATGGGACTGGACTAGGGCTCATTCGCCATCACAAGAAACTTGGAGAGTGCGTAATTTCACTTTATTTCTCTGTTTTTCCAAGAACTTTGAGTTTAGGTAATTTTTGAAGTATTGACATGTAATGTAATGTAAGGGATCTTGATTTCTGATGATTTTGTCTTTGAGTAGGGTTTTTGATATATGGTGCCTTCACATTCCAGTCAGCGATCGTACTCCTGCTAAAGGTAACTTTTTGTTGACCCTTAGAAGTAACCAAACTAAGAAGATAGTTACTGCGAATTAAAGTTTGTGTCCTGTTTTATTCAGAGCTGGTGAAGCTTATTGAGAAGACTGTTAAGTCCGAGTACTCTCGGTTCCCAAATAGACCAATATATTTAGTTGGAGAATCTATTGGAGCATGCTTTGCTTTAGATGTTGCAGCCAGGAATCCAAATATTGATTTTTCTTTGATCTTGGTTAATCCAGGTACATAGGATCTTGGTCTGTAGCACGATTCTTAATTAGTTTTGTAAATGTCACAAATCTTTTCTCATCAAAGACACTGTCTGTTGCAGCCACACATGTAAACAACTTCATATCGCAACCTCTATCAGGAATTTTGAATGTTTTACCAGATGGTATTCCAACACTCTTAGAAGATATCTTCGGTGTTCAGCAAGGTACACTTTTATTCTCTTCTCATATATACCATCTTATATTCATAAGTTAACCAATCTTTAAAATGTTATGTTCAGTTTTAGCATCTTGTTAATTCTACTTAGAAATCGGTGACCAGGGTAAGATGTTACACAACAAAAGAGTTTCTTGTAGATCAAGAACTTATTCAAAGATGTGATTTTTATTGTTACCGTAGGCGATCCGCTGACTGGAATGTTGGACGCTTTGTCAAATGAACTGTCCGTGCAGCGAATGGGAGGATTGGGTGGAGGAATGCTAAGAGATATCCTTTCTATTTCAACTAATTTTCCTGTAAGTATTCTCTATCATCAATGCTTTTTTTCTTCTCAATTTTTGTATAAATGATGAAAATATATTTGCAGACGCTTAGTAGGATGTTACCTAAGGACACATTGTTATGGAAGCTGGAAATGCTTAAGTCTGCTATTGCTTCAGTGAATTCTCACATTTACTCGGTCAGAGCGGAAACACTTATACTTCTGAGGTCCAATAAGTTTCTCTGTTTCAGAAGTTCTGAATATCTTTTACTTGTAAGAGGTATTCTAGCTTAAGGATAAGTATAAGTTTATGTATGGTTATGGACTATTGCAGTAAACGCGACCAATGGTTGCTGAACGAGGAAGACATTGACCGATACTCGCGAACGTTGCCAAAATGTATAGTCCGCAAGCTTGATGACAATGGACAGTTTCCACTTTTGGTTAGTGATCTCTATTCATCCAATAATGAAGAAAGAGTCAAATATTGATACTAGTTTCCTCATGCATCTCAACTATCTTTATTACATCTCACCTTAGGAGGACGGTGTAGATCTGGCTACGATCATCAAGTGTACTTGTTTTTATCGTCGTGGGAAGTCTCATGATCACATTAGGGATTACATTATGCCTACCATATATGAGTTAAAACAACAAATAGACGATCATCGGTAAAATGCCTCACTAATTGCTCTGAGATATAATATTAGTATTTTCTCTATGCTTGGCAAAACAAAAAAAAGTTATGCAGTGCAGATTGCTAATGGATGGTACTTCCCCTGTAATGCTGTCAACTCTAGAAGACGGCACAATTGTAAGGAGCTTCGAAGGATTACCTTCAGAGGGACCTGTTCTGTACGTTGGCTATCACATGCTATTAGGATTTGAGTTAGCTCCATTGGTACTTCAACTCATGAAAGAGAGGAACATCCACCTGCGGGGTTTGGCACATCCGCTGATATTTAAGAATCTCAAAGACTCGCTAGTCAACGCGAAGATGTTAGACAAATATAAGATAATGGGTGCAGTTCCTGTCTCCAATATGAATTTCTACAAACTACTGCGTGAAAAGGCTCATGTGCTTTTGTATCCTGGAGGTCTCCGTGAAGCTTTTCATAGAAAGGTGATAGTATAGTGAGTGAAATTTTTTTTCATGGTTTCTACATTCTTGATAATTTTTATTTTAGAGGCTTAAATGTACATAGTGACTATGCAGGGTGAAGAATACAAGCTGTTTTGGCCAGAACGATCCGAGTTTGTGAGAGTTGCATCTAAATTTGGAGCCAAAATTGTTCCTTTTGGTGTTCTTGGAGAAGACGACATCTGCGAAGTAAGCTTTCTCTACTCTATTCCTCTTCCTTCATGTTTGCACGTTAGTACCACCAAGAACTGTATAATATGATCCATTCATATTTCTGCATTCTCGGCTTCAAAATGACTATAACAATATATATGCTCTACTACTCTTATATATACCTGAATCTCGGTTATGAGTGACTTTGAATGATTCTCAGCTTGTACTGGATTCCAATGATCAAAGGAACATGCCTTATTTGAAGGATCTAGTGGAAAAGGCAACAAAGGACTCTGGCAATATAAGGTGTTTAATCACACAATATTGTATATTGTACATCAAAGTATCACTAATATGATTGATTTGGAACGTCAGGGAAGGCGACGAGACCGAATTGGGAAACCAAGATGTCTATATCCCAGGACTTGTACCTAAGATTCCAGGGAGATTCTACTATTACTTTGGGAAACCAATAGACTTAGCAGGTATGTATACAATCTAAGTGATAGCTCTCTACTTCAAATCACTGATCTCAGTATATACTTGCAATAACGGCGGGTTTTGTTTTATGTGGCAGGTAAGGAGAAAGAGCTGAAAGACAAAGAAAAGGCACAAGAGCTTTACTTGCAAGTAAAGTCTGAGGTCGAACAATGCATTGCCTATTTAAAAAGGAAAAGAGAGAGTGATCCTTATAGACACTTGTTGCCAAGGATGTTGTATCAAGCCTCACATGGTTTGTCTTCTGATATCCCAACGTTTGATCTCTAAAATCTCCCTACTGTGGCTATATATATGTTGTACACATCGAATCATATGATGTTCAGAGGTTCTACGATCTTTACTTGTTCATGGAAAACATAAGGACAAGATTATTTAATTGAATGTCATTTATCAGATTTCAAGTTGTAACCAATTTGAGGTATACTTACTTTGAAAGTCGTATGAATGCAGTCGTATATGTAACGTGGCTTTATAATCAAACAAGCATTTCAATTACTCTGTTTAAACCAAAGATACACACACATACATGATACATGTGAGCACCCTCCCAATTGAAAGTTCAACTAATAATTAAGTAATTAAAAGTTGTGCAAAATTTTGTTTTGTTTGTAGAAATTTGAGAAGACGAAACTTGCACGTCTAAAACTTAGTTTCTAAATTATAACAAGATACAAAAGGTCACTGTTTTTTTGAGGTGTTATTAATATCCAAAAAATGTATTTATTTTGCTCTAAACTCTTTTAAATACAACAAGAGGTGTGCAATATGGACTTTTAGTCTAGCCTAGAATAGATACAGTCATATGAAAACAAAAATGTTCTCTGAGTCTATAATTTTTGCGTTGCAGAAACAAATAAGGTTGTATCCTAATAGATTATACGTCCGAACCAGACCTTACATTGATGTCGGCTGGCTCTGGTTCTGGTAGATTATAATATCCCACGTCGGTTGCACATTTGTAAGGATGGTGTTCATTTCAGTTAGAAACTTTTGGGATTACCACATACATACATATGACACATTTTATTATCTTCAACTATTGACCACTATAGTAATACTTATAAGTCTAATCAATAAACCAGTTTAGAACTTGGACTTAGCCAAATGATCATTTTCTTAGTTTGCAAAACTCCCTAGTAATTACCTAATTTCTTTTGGGATTTTACTAACAATCCTCTTTCTAATATTCATTCATGCATGATTTAAATGTGGATGGAGACAAACATAGGTCCACAATGATACACAAAGCATTCTCTGATCATTCAGGACTAGTGGATTTGTTTATTTATTCAATCATATACTCAAATCTAGCTAAAAAAAAAACCAAGAAAAATATCTTTATGATCACTAGATATGTTTCTATTCACCATTTTAGTCAAATGATTCACCAATTAATAACCTTTTTTTTTTAAACAAAATTATGAAACATGTGAAACGTCCAATATACTAGTAAAAAAAATCTTTATAGCCACTTGGATATTTGTGGCTGTGCCTTAATATATATTTGTGGCTATAACGTCGTAACTTAAATAATTCGTGGTTTTTTTTTTTCTAATATCACTTTATAGCCACGAATTTTCGCAACTGCCAAGTGGGCATAGATAATTTTTTTTACTAATATATATATATAAAAATATTTGAAAAATAAATACTAAAATTTCCAACATAATTTGCTTATTTTTTCTTACACTTCAAGATATATATACATTGCGAAGTTAAACGTAAATAATCACAAAGCGACAATACAGTACTGACTCAATGAGGTCCAGTGGATTTGTTTCCTATATCCTCTATGTTTTTATTTTTTAAAATCCAACTATATAACAACATCTTAAATACCACGTAACATTACACATGTGACATGTCCAATAGAATTTTATTCCTTTCCTTTTTTCTTTTGTCCAAAAATATTTATTTATTTCCGTTTAATTGTTTTTGTTTTCGAAAAGGAAATACTAAAGTTAACATTTCCGCGCACTTTGTTGGCTCTTTCCTTTATTCAGAATAGTTTTGTTGTCATATTCTCTCTGACTCTCTCCTTAGAGCTTCTCATAAAATGGAGACTGCAACAGTACTTCGCTCAACGTTTGGTCTCTGTGCCGTCTCTTCATCAAATCCACGACGTCAACGGACCTCAGCCGCAAAGCATAGACTCACTTCGGTCAAATCTATAACGTCCACGACTCCTCCTCCTTCTAGTGGTGGTCGACGGAGAGGGAAGGGTAATGATGAAAAGGGAGCCACGGCGGTGGTGGCGAAGGTGGTCAAGAACCCGTATTCGGAAGTGGAGGCGGCGAGTCCTGATTTGAGGAAGAGCTTGTCGGATTTTTTGGAGGAAGCGAGAGATTTCTTGGGTGATGGAGGTGGTCCTCCTCGGTGGTTCTCTCCGGTGGAGTGTGGCGCTCAAGCTCAAGGCTCTCCTCTCCTCCTCTTTTTACCTGGTTTGTCCTCTTTCTACTTCAGAAGGGTTTTGTTTTTGGGTTTAGGTTTGGTTCGATTATTTCGGTTCTATGCAAACTTTATTCAGACTCAAACCAATTAGTTTGGTTTGGGTTTAGTTCTGTTTGGTTTCACTTTAGATTGGTTTAGTTTTATGTGATTTACCATCAATTAGTCATGATTAATTAATCTAGAGCTAGAAAGTATGATTGTGTAAATTTTTTATTTAAAATGTTATATTGGTGGTCAAATGAGATATGAATATTTTTTTTATAAATCGTGACTTTAGAGTTAGGGATTTTAAGATTGATTAAGTAAGTAAAAAGTTATATTAAATAACTAGATAGTAGAAAGAAAAAATAAATAAAAAGTTATATTAAATAACTAGATAGTAGAAAGAAAAAATAAATATGAGTTTAAGACTTTAGAGATTTATATTAAGTATTTAGTTAACTTAATATTAAACAAATAAAAAACAGTTTGGGTTATTGGTTCGGTTTGGTTTGAATCAAACAGAACTATTTTGGTTGATGAAAAGGTAAACCAAATGGGTTGTGTGTAGAACATATGATAGTTTTGATAATTTTTGTTTGGTAAAACTGTGATAGTTTTTATGGATTTAGACTTTTAATTACATTTTTCATGGGTCTCTAAAATGTTTGTGTGTGTGTGTGTCAAGCAACGTTAAGCTTATTCTAATTTCTAGGTGACAAAACTGAGGAAACAAAAAAAACTTGCAGGGATCGATGGGACTGGACTAGGGCTCATTCGCCATCACAAGAAACTTGGAGAGTGCGTAATTTCACATTATTCCTCTGTTTGTCCAAGAAGTGTGATTTTGGGTAGTTTTGTTTTTGGAAGTATTAACATCTAAGGGATGTTTGATTTCTGATGTTTGTTGTCTTTGAGTAGGGTTTTTGATATATGGTGCCTTCACATTCCAGTCAGCGATCGTACTCCTGCTAAAGGTACCTTTTTGTTGACCCTTTGAAGTAACTAAACTGAGAAGATAGTTACAGAAAATTAAAGTTTGTGTTCTGTTTTATGCAGAGTTGGTGAAACTTATTGAGAAGACTGTTAAGTTGGAGCACTCTAGGTTCCCAAATAGACCAATATATTTAGTTGGAGAATCTATTGGAGCATGTCTTGCTTTAGATGTTGCAGCCAGGAATCCTGATATTGATCTCTCTCTAATCTTGGTTAATCCAGGTACAAAGCTCTCGCCCCTCTCGGTCTGTAAAATTCTTAGTCGATGAGTGTCACAAATCTTTTTCTCATAATAGATACTGTTTGTTGCAGCCACACATGTCAACAACTTCATATCGCAACCTCTATCAGGAATGCTGAATGTTTTACCAGATGGTATTCCAACACTGTTAGAAGATATCTTCGGTGTTAAGCACGGTACACTTTTACTCTCTCCACATATTCTATCTTGAATCATCAGTTTAAACAACTAATTGAGTTTCAAGTTGGATCTTAAAATGTTAAGTTCAACATCAGTTCCTTGTATATCAAGAACTTATTCAAACATGACAAACATTTGTTTCTTTGTCTCTGTAGGCGATCCGCTGACTGGAATGTTAGACGCTTTGTCAAATGAATTTTCTAGCCAGCGAATAGGCGGTGTGGGTGGAGGGATGCTAAGAGATCTCTTTGCTGTTTCAACTAATATTCCTGTAAGTATTCCTTCTTAGAACCTCATGATCTATGGGGTTTTCAGTTTATCGTCGACACATTTTTCTACTTCAATTCTAGTGTTCATCTAGTAATATGATCAAAATATATTTGCAGACTCTTGGTAGGATGTTCCCTAAGGACACACTACTCTGGAAGCTGGAATTGCTTAAGTCTGCTATTGCTTCTGTGAATTCTCACATAGACTCAGTCAGAGCAGAAACAATGATACTTCTGAGGTCCAATACGTTTCTCTGTAATCACCATAAATTTCTGAATGTCTCTTACTTGTAAAGAGCATATATATAAGTGTTTGTTGACTACTGTAGTGGACGCGACCAATGGCTACTGAACAAGGAAGACATTGACAGATACTTGCGCACGTTGCCTAAATGTATAGTACGTAAGCTTGATGACAGTGGACAGTTCCCCCTTTTGGTTAGTGATCTATCTTCATCCAATAAACAAGAAATAGGATACTTATTAGGGTCAAGTATTGATACTATAGTTTCTTCATGTTAGAATATTGGATCATTCATTACACTTCAACTATCTCTTTTAGGAGGATGGCGTAGATCTGGCTAATATCATCAAGGCTACTTGCTTTTATCGCCGTGGAAAGTCTCATGATCACATTTCGGATTACATTATGCCTACCACATATGAGTTAAAACAACAAATGGACAATGACCGGTAAAATGTCTCACTAATTGCTTTGAGACATCGTAGTTTATGTAAATGTTTAGCAAAATAAATCAGACTATCAAATAAAAAGTTATAGTGGATAGATACCAAATGACAAATTATGCAGTGCAGATTGCTAGTGGATGCTACTTCTCCTGTAATGCTGTCAACTCTAGCAGACGGAACACTTGTACGTGGCCTCGAAGGATTACCTTTAGAGGGACCTGTTCTGTACGTTGGCTATCACATGCTCTTGGGATTTGACTTGGTTCCAATGGTATCTCAAATCTTGAAAGAGAAGAACATTCACCTGCGGGGTTTGGCACATCCAATGTTTTTTATGAATCTCCACGACACAATAGTCGACACAAAGATGTTTGATAAATATAAGATAATGGGTGGAGTTCCTGTCTCTAATTTCAGTATCTACAAACTACTACGTGAAAAGGCTCATGTGCTTTTGTATCCTGGAGGTGTCCGTGAAGCGATGCATAGGAAGGTGATAGTATAGTTTGTGAACTTCTTCTCACGGTTTCTACATTCTTTGGAAATTTTTATTTTAGAGGCTTAAAATGTATATTGTGACTATGCAGGGTGAAGAATACAAG